AATGACATGAAGTCTTTAGAAAGTATCCTAGAAAATGTTACCCACGCCAACAAACGAACTAAGAAGCTCAGACGTTATATTGTTGTAGAAGCTGTTTATCAGGTACAGTTGTTTACAGTAGTACTTCTGGAATGTATTATTTTGCTTCGTGCCTTTAAAGTTTAATGTTTGCTGATTTTCTACTTATGTGTTGGCAATCCAAGGTAGAAGATAAAAAGGCCAGTATCTATCAGTCACATATCTTCATGCCTGAAATATTGACACACTATACTGCACATTTTCATAATGTGCTTGTTATTATTTTTTTTTTTTCGTTTTCTGAGTAAATAAGTGAGCTATGATTTGTCTTGTTCAACTCCAGAATTCTGGCCAGATTGCTCCATTGGATGAGATCATTAAATTGAAAGAGAAATATCTTTTTCGTGTGATACTTGATGAAAGTAACTCAATTGGAGTTCTTGGGAGGTCTGGTAGAGGCCTAACTGAACATTTCAAAGTTCCAGTAAGTTCCTTTTAAGTTTCACCCTTGTCTGTGTACTCCTGGTATATATTTACCTTTTTTTTAATACACTTGTTTGTTGCAGATCGACAAGGTGGATATTGTGACTGCTGCAATGGGACACGCATTAGCTACTGAAGGAGGATTTTGCACTGGGAGTAATCGAGTGATCGATCACCAGGTATGCTTGTTTCCATGAAATCTTTTTGGAATGACATGAATGCAGATGATATAAACCTACTCCTACTTTAAAAATATCAAATCTATACCTCTTGTTCAAAGGGGGGAAAAATCTTTATTCCTTAATCGTTTTGTCCTAGGAACCGATCTCCGGGTAAAGCAGCACTTAAATATATTCAATCAGGATATTCGATAACATTTGCATAAGGTTTCATATATAGGGTACATACTCTATAAGCATGTCTTAGTAACGGAAAGCGGCTCATTGCACATGGCCTTGAAATTCCAGCTAGTATTATCTTCCGATAGTGTTTCTCACACTCACAAACAAACTTGTGTATATTTCAACTATTGATGCAAAATTAGCTTAATGCATTATGTCGTAGCATATGTCCATTGCATATGGAGCTGGAAGAGTCATTGTTGACAATTCTCCTAGCATAGTGCTAAGAATGGACTAGATCAAAATGGCTCAATTAAATTCTAGTGCTTCTTCTATTAGTGAAGTTTCTAGAAAAAATATATCAAACGACGCAACGCACCTTGGGTCGCTATGGAAACAGCCTCCTTGTATAATTACAAGGGTAAGGTCTGCGTACAACTGACCCCCCAGACCCCAACCTGTTGGGAATATACTGGGTATGTTGATGTTGATGATGTTGATGCATTATGTCGTAGCATGTAGTCAATTTTCTTGCTATTCCCGTTGGGTTTTCTTGGTTCATACATTTATCCTTTTTCTTTACGGTTTTATTGGAGAAGCGGGGAATAGAATTTCGTTCAAGTTTATTTACGATAATGTCATTTTCATTAGAATTTGGTTCATATCTTGAGCAATCTTTTTAATTATTTGATACGTATTCACGTAATTGTTATCTTCTTTAGTTTCTGTCTCAAATAACTTTTTGGCATTAGAATCACCCAATGATCATTTACTTTTGCGGTGTTATGGCTTGTTAAGTGCTTGTTACTACATGCTATTAAAGTTTCCAGGATTTGGATAGTAGAATATAATCGCAATGTCCGGTTAGCAGCTATTAGGGTCTGCAAAGCAAGAACCATAGTTGCGCATGCTATATTACAAAAAAACAATTTCCAGATTTTTCTAATGCCAATAAAATACTTCTTTGACAGCGTCTCAGTAGTTCCGGTTATGTGTTCTCTGCTTCTTTGCCTCCTTATCTGGCAAGTGCTGCAATCACTGCTCTTGAGTTGTTGGAAGAAAATCCAAATCTCCTCACAAAGTTGAAGGAGAATGTTACTGCTCTGCGTAAAGGTTTTTCTTCTACTATTTCCTTTCCATATAATAATTCCATAAAAGTTTATCGTTCTTCTTCTAAACTAATTGTGCAGTTTCTGAGAATTATTTCTTTAATATCTCTCTCTAACATTGTGTGAAAATTCTAGGTTTATCTGATGTACATGGCCTTGAGATAGTCAGTGATCCAGAATCACCAATGGTTTTTCTGAGACTCAAGAAGTCCACAGGATCCTTGAAGGGTGATCTTCGAGTGCTCCAAGATATAGCAAATCATGTAAGTGGTCATAATTCTTGAGACTTAGAGCATATGCAATGCTTTGGGTTTAATAAAAAAAAAAAAAATTATATGCCACCTAGGATAAAACTACGCGGGAGGTTTTTTAACTCGTTACAAATCAAAAGGCCACTGATTCTTAAGTTTGCATATATTTCTCAATTATCGCTTGATTTGGTGTAATTTGGAAAAAGGAACTCCACTGTAAAGATACAGGGTATTTCTGTAATTAGGCCGAAATTCATGGATCGAATTTGCAATTACCCGTTTTTCTAAGGTGATGTCATTGTGTTTCTGCAGTTACTGAAAGAACACTCGGTTTTTGTTGCGACTACCAAAAGGTCTACGGTGGACAAATGCAAGTTACCTGTCGGGATCAGATTATGTGTGTCTGCTGCCCATACAGAAACCGATCTGCAGAAAGCATGCGATTCTTTGAAAATAACCACTGCCCTTGTATTGACCGGTCAATAACTCAAGTCAGTTGATGTTGATACATGACTTCAACGCGACGTACGAGCATATTTTGACATCATGATTAGGCTAGAGAAGAGTATGGGGCGTCATGTGTGTTCTGGTCTGCTGCTGTGGAGCAAGTTTGGTTTCATCATCCTGTATTCAATCTTTTTTT